GGGGGGGGGGGAGAGGGAGAATCCCTGCGGGGAGCGGTGACTGTCAGTCATTGCCCTCTGCAGGGGGATGATCAGTAAGTGAGCCAGCGACGGTATGCGTTTGCTCACTTCCTGTTCTATAAAGTTGACGTGTGACAGTTTCATTATCACGTGTCACGTGTCATTTAACTATGGGGGTGATATAAATCGTTCACCTCGTAGTTCTCCTTTAATTCTTAAAAAATGGCAGCAACTATACAAACACGCTGTTAGGGGCTGATTTATAATGCATTCACACAGAATATAGCTGTGCAAAGGATGTTAGGAGATTCCTGTGCTCCCTCAGCGCCATCTAGTGGCAGTAATGTGTTGTGAATGCATTTTAAATCACCACCTTAGTTTAAAGAAGAACTTGTTATGAAATAAATACCTGTGATGTCATTCTCAACCCCCTTCTAGAAATGCTCATTATCTGTCAATCATGCTGATCTTCCCTATGTACTACTTAGCAAGTCACGGACTTGGAACAAGTATTCACCCTGTGAAGTTGGAACTCCTGTCCTGCATACTAGCAATAGGTCTGTGATTCCCTGCAATAAGGGAAGGCAGAGTTTGGGAAAGGCACGACAGCTGTTTGTTCCATGCCATGTTCCTTTTAAATCATAGCACCACAATGTCACAAATATGTTATGGGCTGGAAGCTGCAGTGATGTTTTATTTTTCAGGAATAAGAACAATTTAGAAAAAAACTCTTTTATCCACATCTGAGTGTTCTTAAAGATGGGAAGAAAAGAAGAGCAATTTACAGAGTTTGCCAAATACTAGAAAAGTGCATTCATGACAGTGTGACGAATAGTTCAATAAAAGTGCTGTGGGAGGTAAGTTCACCACCATAGTGCACATTTATCTCAGGCCTGCCTATAGCTAGATCAGGAGCTCTGAAAACGTGGCACCTATAGTCATATACTTTTGGCCCCGGTGCATTGTATGAATTGGTGTGGTCAAACCCATACAACCGTTCAACGTCTTTTCTTTCAAGCAAGCGACAAGCGGCGCAGAGTTGAGTGCAAACTATAGTGTTCCACGTGCCCCTCCCCCCTAATGCTTTTATGTATCACTTTGTGTTGTGTAGTACAAGTCAATGACACACATACGCCTACATTATACATCTGTAAGTACTTGAAGATTTCTACTCTTTTTAGTTAGCAAAAAAGCAGCATAAACTCTCTATACAATGGCCGTCTCCTTCACACTGGAACACAGAGGCATCTGATCGAGTCACATGGAAATATGGCTGTAAATACTCGTCTTTAACACTATTTAGTTGTGTATCAGTTGAGAGATAGAATAATGTTCTTATTCTTCTACTTGTGTGTGGAGTATGTGGAGTGTGTGTGCCCGATCCTTCTCCCTGGCTTGTCTGTAGTTCTACCACATGATCCATTCTGAAATCTATATTTATATGCAGTGAATTCCTCTTGTATGCACAACTCATCAACCTATAGGAGAACAGAAGCTGCATACATCTAAATTTATATTTTCTTATCCACATATTAAATAAATCTCCTTCTATTTAACAGAAGGTCACTGGATGGGCTGGAGTGACTCCCTTCAAAGCCTTTCAGCCGCAATTTATCCATGTGTCCCTGTGCATTTTTCCTACAATTTTTAGGCAGACGTCAGTTCAAGTTGCCTTGTATCATAGCCAGTGGTAACGGAGTCTGGATTCCCATTTCTGCTTAGGTTACATAAGAAAGAAAACAAAAAAAAAACTGTTAAAACTTTTTGTTGGTGCTATTTGTGTACATACCAGACCAAAAGTATTTAAGGGTCTTGTGACTGCAGGTAAAAAGGGCATTAGAGTATGGACCATAAGCCACCACCATCTGAAAGAAGTGCATACAAGTGGAATTGATTGTGTATGGAGCTATGTATGTAGCTTGTGTCCTGGTGAGGACAGTTCACTTTAGCTAAGAATAAGAGGGTGGGGTGGGTTGACTAATGTATTACCAAGGGCTTAGAGTACTTTATTCAAAGTGTGCCAGAGAACAAAACGAGAAACCGTACTAGGCGCCTCCGATCCGTAACCACGTATGATGCCCTTTGATGATACATGTGACGTAGTTTTAGCTTCAGGTGATCATGCAATAGAATCTCTACAAAGTGGGGGAACAGAGCAGCATGGTCAGCAGCTCTCAAGATTAATTATGTTTGAGCAATCATTTGTTTTGCGTTTGGACCCTGCTCCCAAAGTTCATACAGGTTGCAAGGCAGTATCGTTAAGGACGTCCTATTACCTACAGTGTCTATGATCAGGATTATATGGCCATCAATTTTTTTTGGGCTGCAATAGATAGTGAATATGTAGAAAGCCATAGGAGGATGGTGGTCAGCGTGGCAGCATGCCAACCAGTGGCCAATTGAGGGTCTTAATGGTTTACACTTGAGAAATGTATGTTGACCACCGAAGCTGTAGAAGACGAGAAATAATCCCATCCTGTGTTTTTATCCTGCCATTTGACCATTCATACGTACATGGCACAACTCATTTTGTGTGCACTTACATTTCAGTTTCTGTTCATTGTTTTCCTGGTTTACTACCATTTATATCCAAAATGTACAAAATGATTGTTTCTTGTTTGTCTGTTTTTAATTTATGTCTGTCAATACATCACGATTCTAGGATAGTGATCCTGCTGTTAGGGGTCTTGGAGGACAGTGCACAGTATACAGTACAGCATGTTATAACCATTACTAACTTTATTACTTGTCTTTTGTCCACTCACCACAAAATAAAGTCTGAAAACTATTTAAAAATAAGTCCTGTGTATTCTTTCATTAATTATCTGGGTTTATAAAACGTCTGGCT